TTTATTTAGTTGCATATTTATTTATTTATTTGTGTATTTATTTATTTATTGTTTTTGCAGGTTTGGCCCTCCATACTCCATATGACACCAGCAGGGGACTGAAATCACACAACTGAAACGTGCTGGATCAGTCTAAACTGACTTAGAAACTTCCGGGGTGGGGTTTTATTTTTCTGCCTGTCTGTCTGTCTAGACAAAAAGAAATCAAAGCATAATGAATGAGTATAGCACTTACAAATAAAACCAGCGTGAATAGTCAATAGCCTATAATTGACCTTTTATATGCTAATTTATGTTAATGGTATCCTCGTCAATTAAACCTATTATAATCTTAATAGAATCAAGTGATAATATTACCTTGATAAAATAGTTAATTTGATGATGATTCAGAGTCGCAGAACACAGGATTTTTTTTTTTACATTTATTGCCCCACAAAATGGACATCAGGTCTTGAATGTTATCAGCAGGAACCTCATGACTTTGTTGTGTTGTGCCAGGTTGTGAAATTTGTGCAAGAATTTCAAAGCTACAGAACTACAAATTCTGATGTTACTGTTTTATGCATATTAATGTTTATTATTAATATTATTGAGTGATGAGTGAATACACAGCAACTCACACACCCACCATACACACTTGGTACTACAATGCAAACAAATATATATTTTCAAATCAACCAGCAAGTACACAAACACATCCACAAAGACAAAACACATATCCATCCACTCATCCTCTGCAAGCAACAAAAATACTTAAACAGGTTTTTTTAGACTTTATCTTATCATCTTATCCTTTTTTACTTCTTATTGCATTGCTCATTGTTACATTATGTGTTATTTTCTAAATCTTTACCACTAGTTCACATACTGTTTGTTTAAACACTAGTATGGTTAAAATATGAGCACTTTTACGTTGCTTCAGTCCTGGTATCCAGTGTAGTGGATATGAACATTTAAAAAAATGTAATGAAAAAAATGGGTTGGCACACAGTTGGCCATTCGTGGCCTAGTGCGTCTCATTCCCTCGAGAAAAATGTTGGGCAATGAGAGTTGTCTTCTAAGGCAAAGAGGTCGACCTCTGCCTTCCCAAAGACATCCCAGATCATTTGAACCATTTGGGGGTGGAGCCTCCATTCCTCTGGAGACATGCTGCCTCAGAACAACATGTCCACTCCCTGGTTCAATTTGTCCAGCATGTGCACTGCCTTCAAGGAGCTCAGGTTGCTCTGTGTTTATGAGGAGGCGCCTCACCATCTTGTA